GAAACTCTGCAAATGAGAAGAGCAACCCCCTTTCCTCCTCCTCATGAATGGTGGAATCCTGGTATAGAACGGGGTTGAAGAGATCCTGGTGTAGACCCTGTTTGTACTTATGCTGAAGTTAAAGCCCCCTCGTTGTCAACTCTGATAAGACTAAAAGACTCCAACAGTGGCTTCCCTCTGTGTAGGTACTGCAGATCTCCAGCCAGACAAAGACAACTCTACAGATATTCTAAAACTTTAGGCATAACAAATGATATATTTTTAATGAGCTACAGCTGCTGAGAATCTCAGGGTATCCCCAGTTCCCCCAAGAGCTCTTAGGTCTCCTGCTTTGCTAAAACATCTGTTTCGTCCTCAGTTTCTCACTTTATGTCAGAACTGCAGCAAACACAAAGCTGGTGAGTCACAAATTCAAGCTTTGTCTTCTGCAGAATGGTGCACCAAATTGGACTCTATGTATGGGACTGCTTTCTGCTTTTGATAAACTCCTTACCATCTTTCAAAAGTTAGCCGAGGCATACCCTTTCCACTCCACTGACAACCAACTGTTCTCCCTTGCTAAAGAAATGGTCTTGGGAACACTGTATGCTATCTTTTTATGTTTATGTGGGTCTGCTCCCCTTGATAATTAACTGTTGGAGGTTCAAGCTTGAGCATTACTCATTTCTACATCTCTAGCTCCCAGCATAGGGCCTACCACACACATTGGAAGTAATCAATAAATAGTTGTAAATGGCACTAGACCCATTTATTAAATCAGCAGACCTTGACATGAGTACTTTAAAAAGAGAGACAAAGGTTGAAAGACCAGATGCATATGTGAGCCCTTCACTTTGTCACATCCTCAATTTTCTAGTGGCAACTGGAAAAGTCTTTATGATTTTGAGTGATGACACAATCAAACACAAGAAGGCCTCCTATACAAGTCTGCAACACTGCCTCTAAATGGACTGTTTATCGCTACTAGAAATTGAAAGTTATTAGTACCCATAAAATACCTTGGAATATGGTTTTCCTGATAGTCTTCACCTCCCCCATGTTCAGAACAGGACTTTTTAAGATCTATCACAGAGAATGTAGATCGTTCTGAAGTCTGTTGAGGCTTGGAAGCTTATGGAAAACTTTATCACTTCCTTAGCTACCTAGCAGAATTAAAATTAGTGATATTACTCAGATTCTTTAAAAACCAGATGTTACCAGTCAGAGAAATTGGTGTGGTAAGGAAAACATTTAATTGCGGATTATCTGCTCTTGTCACATGAAATACCTTTTCTTCATCATGTCACTCTTCCTCTTCTCTCCTCAAAGTCCCAGATCTCTCTAGCTCAGTCCTTGCTTCATTCTGTCCCAAATTCTGTAGATTTGAGAATCTACATCCATGTCAAATTTCCATATATATTCACTATAACTTATTATTTTTGACATGACTGCCACTCAATTCCTCTTTTGCAAACCACAGCACCCAAAAGGAGAGAGAGAACAAAAGGGAATGCCCTGCCACAGAGGCAGGGTTTGGTGGGGGGATGGGGGGGTAGGAGGGACACTGGGATTAGTGGTGGTGGAGAATGGGCACTGGTGGAAGGATGGGTACTGGATCATTGTATAACGGAAACCCAAGCACAAAAATTTGTAAGTCTACAGCTGTACCTCATGGTGTTTCACTAATAAAAATTAAAACAAAAACCAACAAAAAACCTTATTATTATTATTTTTTATAGTGTAGTTTTTTTTATTAAAATTTTTTTAATAGTGATACATCATGAGGTACAGTTGCAGACTTACACATTTTTGTGCTTGGGTTTCAATTATACAATGATCAAATACCTTTTGTATACTACTGTTTGTTGTTAATTTAATTAATGTACCAGCCTAAGAAATCAGGAAGGTAGAAGAAAATTTTCTTTCTTCTTTTTACTCCCTAATAAAGTGTCTTTCTCAGGAAACCTGATTTTATGTTTCATGTGCTCATGAGATTTATGGAAAGTTAAAAACTAGCTTTCACTCCCCTTGCTAACAATACAGTGCACAGCAACCATTGCTGAGTAGTGAGATAGACCTTACTATATTGGGTAGCAGGACACCTAATATAAAGAAGTCATACAGGCTGTTGAATACCAACTGGATAGCTATAATATTTGCATACTGGCTGGGAGCACACACATTGATCTTTTAAATTGTTTCATGCACAATGATTTTAATTCAAGTTTGGTTTGCTTTCAGAGTCCTGCTCCCTTTGTGATTGAAAGGTGTTCCATATTCATTTGACATAAACAGATGCATAGTCTGTCAAATCAGAACTTGCTCTATTGCTTTCTGCAGCTTGTAGTTTATACTACATTCAACTAAAAAGGTGTAAGAGTTCACTAGTGAGCAAGGTAGATGAGAAACCCTTTAAGAAAGGAGTAGAGTTGATCAAAGCTTTTTAGAAATCTTTAGAAAATATTTCATATGTTTCTGATTCATAGAGATGAAAGGGACTTGAGAACGCTTAGATAGAAACCTTTTGCTCTTGGGACATGCCACAGAACATTCTTCAGAGGTACACAGTTATGCATATAATTCAAGGAAGGAGATTTAAGAATCGACATCAATAAATCATGGTTTAAAAATTCTTCTTTTTTTCAATCTTTTTTGGGTCATACGTGGCAATGCTCAGGGGTTATTCCTGGCTCACGCACTCAGGAATTACTCCTGGCAGTGCTTGGGGTACCATATGGGATGCTGGAGATCGAACCTGGCTCGACCTCGTGCAAGGCAAACACCCTACCCACTGAATTATCGCTCCAATCCCAGAAAAAAGTTCTTTTTTTGCTTTTTGGGGTCAAACCCGGTGATGCACAGGGGTTACTCCTGGCTCTGCTCTCAGGATTTATTCCTGGAGGTGTTCATGGGGATCATATGAAGTGCTGGAAATCGAACCTGGGACAGCTGCGTGCAAGGCAAATGCCCTACTCGCTGTGCTACTGCTCCAGCCCCTAAAAAATTCTTAATGAAAAGATATTTCTTACATCTTACCAACACCTTTCATATGACAGTTTCTCTGCTGAGTTAATTTGTACTAGCACTGTAGCACTGTCCTCCTGTTGTTCATAGATTTGCTTGAGTGGGCGTAGTAACATCTCGGTTGTGAGACTTGTTGTTACTGTGTTTGGCATGTCGAATACGTCACAGGTGGCTTGCCAGGCTTTTGCTGTGCAGGTGAGATACTCTTGGTAGCTTGCCGGACTCTCCGAGAGGGGTGGAAGAATCAAACCTGGGTCAGCCGTGTGCAAGGCAAACGCCCTACCTGGTGTGCTACCTCTCACAGGTACCAAATATATGAAATGCTATAAGCTACTGCTAGGCATTGTTTCAGTTCTTTTCTTACTTCCAGTGTGCTGGGCATCTTTATTATTGTCACAAGTCCTCCCATGACCTTCTAAAACTCCAAACACCAACTTTTGGAGAGCATTATTTACTTACAAGTACATAACAGAGTGAGTGAGTAATGGGGTGGTGGCTGCTTGGTTCCTGAGTATTTATATAAGGTAGATGTTTTCCGAATTGAATTTGCTTTAAGAAACCAGTATTTATTTAAACATCTATCATATATAGCCTTATAGTAGGTTTCCTTAGATCATCCTGCTTTAATAAAATTAATTTAATTTGGGGAGGTGGAGGAGCAAGTGATGATTCTCTGAGCTTTCCTTCCCAAATAGGCTATATTGAGAGTTGTAGATTCGGGAATAAAACACCATGGCAAAGAGGAAGAGGACAAATAGTTTCATGTATATTTCTCATTCCATGGCTGTTTCACAAAGTTTCCTCCACCCAGGAAAATGGAAAACATTGAGATGAAAAAATAGTAATCTTATTTGTATGATTCCACAATATCACAAAGGCTGATTATTTGATATCTAGGAAAAAACTATGGGTTCATCACTTAATAACAATGGCTGTTTGATAAAGTTGCTTATTTCCTGCCTCTGGATTTTTGCTTGTTTGGGGGACAAGCCTAAAATGGTGCTCAGGAGTGCTTGAGGACTACTTCCTGTGTGGAAGGAAGGGTCATTTCTGATGGTGTTGAGGATCAAACCTGGTATCCCTGTAATGCAAAGCTCAATTTTTTTTTGAGACATCTCCCTGGCTCATATGTTAATTTATTCCTATGAACCTTAGTCTTCTTTTGTATAAAGTGGGACTCAATTACATTACGGCATTTTCTAGAGAGTTAGGTGAGAAAATATATGTAAATGCTTAGAACTTGATAGTTAGTATTTTATATGTTGTCAATTTGCTACTTTTGCTCTGGTATTCTAGGGATGGAGTCACAGTATTTGTTTTCTTGTTTTATACTCTCTTATTATTTAAGTGACCAAGATTCCTTCTTTGTACTCAACTGGAATCTGTTCAGTTTTAGGTGATTTTAGTTTATGCTTTTTTTTGTTTGTTTTGTTTTTGTTTATTTTACTTCCTCCCATGATTTCTATAGACAGTCAAATATTTGTGTGTGAGGCATAATATATATTACACTTTTTAAAATTCTATATTCTTATCTTTTTAAATTATCCTCTCTCCCCTACCTCTGAAACGTACTAAAATTGTGCGAACTAAGTCTCACAGTAGGCAAAGAAGGTCCCTGAGACTAACCAAGTGTCCAGATTCTAACCTGGTCTTTCTCCCCTTTTCTCTCTCTCTGCTAGGCTGTCCTCAAGACACTTACATATTTTTGTCTTTCTTTTATAGAGTAAATCAGCCTCTCCCCCTTTCATTTTGACTACAAGCTACTGATAAGGAACATCAAAACTAATTTAGAAATAATTTATCACGTTGCCTGCTTCATATCCTTTTTGGAATGAATAATAATGATGATGCTGGGTTACATGAGAAAGGTGTGTTTTAAATATGAGTGGAAAATTAAACCAATGATTAGTAGTAGCAGATCCAAATTGTTTTAAGTTTGGTTAGTTTCAGGCCGTTAGAAAGGATTAATATTTCCATCTCATCACACCTTTACTTACAGGTTTACAGGCTTTAACTCAACATGATCTTGGAAGTAGGAGTGTGCATCAAGTCCACCTATGAAATCAACTGGAAATATAACACAGCTCAATATGAATAAAAGACACATTAAAAACACTCAAGCTAGGTGCCTGAAATAGAAATCCTAAGGATAATATTAGTAAAACTATCTGCCTACCACAAAACACAAACAAGTGTTTTTAATATAAAGGACCCTAAAGTATAATCAATGATTTTTCTAAAGGGAGAATTTTAAAGAAACACACAAAAGAACCTGAGATCAGAGGGGATGAAAAAACACAGTTGTTATTGAACATCCATGAAAAACGAAGTAATATTAAATAACATTAGATTTTAGATAAAGTGCTGTCCTTAGGCATATAGGTATGCTCATTCTCTCTATGTATCAAAAGACACACCATCTCATCTTCTTGCCAGAATCTTTTTTTTTCCCTCTAAGAATATTTATTGCACCATTAGAAAGATCTCTGAGAAGTCATGTAATCTATGTCTGTGTCTTCTGTCCACAAGCTATGCCTGACAAATAGGCATCTGCCTTGGACAAAGATTCCATCTGGGGCTGGAGTGTTAGTACAGTGGGTAGGGCGTTTGCCTTGCGTGCAGACCCAGATTCGACTCCCAGCAGAATTATTCAGTCAGGAATAATTCCTGAGTACAGAGCCAGGAGTAATCCCTGAGCGTTGCCAGTATGACAGAAAAAGCTAAAAAAAAAATATTTTCATCTCTTGGGGGTTAGAGTACTGTGCTCACAATCCGCATATACTCACTCCCAGGTAATATTCTTCCCAACTTGTTTTGATCTGTAGCACTGTAGCACTGTCCTCCCGTTTTTCATCTATTTGCTCGAGCGGGCACAAGTAACGTCTCACAACAAATTGTGAGAGTTGTTGTTACTGATTTTGACATATTGAATACATCATGGGGAGCTTGCCAGGCTTTGCTGTGCTGGCGACATACTCTTGGTAGCTTGCCGGGCTCTCTGAGATGGGTGGAAGAATCAAACCCAGCCGGCCATGTCGGCCGCATGCAAGGCAAATGCCTTACCCGCTGTGCTATCACTCTAGCCCTGTTTTGATCTAAGTTTCAATATATTTTTTTTTAAATCCTAATGTCTCTGACTGATTGTAGCTCATTTCTCCTTTTTGTTTTGTTGTTATTGTGGTTGGAGATTATTCAAAATATTAGTTACCAAGTTTTGCCTTTAAGAGTCAAACAGTTAACATATATAGACATACAGAATCACTAATTCTCAATGTTTTTATTTGTGTATGTGTGCATTTAGTTATAATGTATGAGAATATTTTATATATTTTCAACTCAAGATGGGCAATTGAGTGCACTTACTTAGAGATGAATTAGCTAGGAGATATTTAAAGCTTTGCTTGCTCTGTATCTAGGCACTCTAGTCAGTTCCTGACTTGCTCCTTTTATCTCTATTGAAGGACTAGAAGTCAGGCTTGGTCAATTAAACATTTTTTTACCTTACTTTTGTTAGCATAAAATTCTATATTTGAAATTTTTTTGTTATGTTAATTGCTGTTTACTAAAACATTGTAAACAAATTTTTGAAGGAATTTTATTTGTGATGACCAAGTTTAAATTTTCAACTGATCTTGAATGCAATGCAGCTAAAATTGATGAGATCCATCTTTAATAATGTTCACAAAAATTATGGGAAATTTAAATTATAAAGTAGTTGAAGGCTTTAATATCTCTAATTCTGACAAATTAAGACAAGAAAAGAGAGCAAATGTATTATCATCTAGAGTTTTACGGTTTGTTCCCAATACCAACTTCATACAGAAATATATCCAGGGAAACATAACTCAAAACCACAATAGATACTGCTTTATGCCCAGTAAAATAACTATAATAAAAATGTAAAAGCAAATGTTGGTGAGGATAAGGTAAAATTGAAATCTCCATATACTGGTGATTGGATTGTAAACTAAACCAGTCACTTCAGAAAATAATTTCAAAAAAGACTAAATTAAGATTACCATATGATCTAGTAATTACCCCACCAAATATATATATATATATATTATATTATTCCACACAATTTGGTTAAAAATGGTTATAACACAATTATTGACCATATCAATATGTAGAAAAATATTTCAGTTCATTTACTCAAATGCGTGTATACATGCTTTGAATGCTCAAATTTTCACTTTATTTGGTTAACATTTTGCTTATTTGTTTTATTTGTTTTTGGGTCACACCTGGTGGTGATCAGCTTTTACTGCTGATATGAGCTCAGGAATTACTCCTGTAGGGGACCATATAGGATGCTTGGGATTGAATCCCCAACTGCTGCATGCAAGGCAAGAGCTGTATCACTGTCCTGTCTCTCCAGCTCCTGCAATTTTTTAAAATTTAATTTTATAGTTAATTTTTTAACTTTATGGTTCTTTTAAAATCTCAGGGCTAGGAAGAAGGAGACGTTACTGGTGCCTGCTCAAGGAAATTGACGAACAACAGGATGATCGTGATCGTGAATTTTATAAAACACCATGACTTACAAAGTTGTTCATTACACAGATTTAAGCATTTAGTGTTCTAAAACCACTAGTGTGACCTTCCCTCCACCAATATCCCATTTATCTCCCAATCTCAACTTGCCCACTTAGACATATAATGAATTTGCCTTATGTTGTTTATTCCAACAAAACTTTAAGAAATCATAAATAGAATGATCATAAAATAAATCAGTAAGAACCAATTGTGATTACTATATGGTTTTGACTTATATAAATAAAATTAAAACCATTTATTACAAAATAATAAAATGACTATTCTCATTTAGATATATAAATTTTCAACTCTGGAACCTAAATTAAAATTTAGATTAAATTTTATTTTATTAATCAAATTTTATTTTACTCTTCAATCTTATTGTGTAATAATCATCTCACATGTCAATAAATATTTTAAAGCAATACTAAATTAGATTATTTTGAATTTGAAATAGGTAAAGCCTACATGTGTAAAATTTCCCCCTTATACTTTATATGTTGTCAATGTCAACAATGGCATCTTCCCATGTTGCCGCAATAGTGCCAAAGAGCTCCCAGTTGGTGGTCGTTCTGGGAGTTCTTCTTAAACTTTGCAGCCCTTTCTCCCTGCTCTGTGAAGTAGAATTTTGCATGAAGGAGACGGTGGTCTGATCCCATTTGGAATTTTGGGACAACAGCGACATTGGTCAGGCAAAACCATCGATTGAATATGATGTAGTCAATTTCGTTGTGGAATCGTCCACCGGGAGACTCCCATGTCCAACATTTAGATTCGGCCTTCTGGAATCTTGAGTTACCATGGATGGTCTTGGTCGACATGATGAACTCAGACAGTCACTCACCCTGTTCGTTCCATTCTAGGCCATGGGTCCTGATGTGAAGTTCTTCGGCTGAAGAACTTTGTAAACCCTATGGTTTACAAAGTTGTTCATAATGATTTGTTACAGGCATTCAATAGTCCAACACCAAACGCACCACCATTACACCTTCCCTCCACCATTGTCTCCAATATTCCTAACTGCCCCTTAAGCCTGCACCCATAGTAGGCCCTCAATAATTTATTTTATATTGCTTATTACAATAATTTTCCTCTACTACCTCCACTATCCAGCCACTGCCACACTTCAGGACACTTTCTGGACCACTTTCCGCTTCATGACACATCATAAGACACTTAATACCCATCTTCCAAGATTACTGCTCCATAATTGATAGGGTTCAAATATGGTTTGAACCATGGGAACACCTGCAAGGGCAATTAGAGCCTGCCCTAAAAGTATCTATCCCTCTCAGAGAGCCTAGCAAGCTACCGAGAATATCCTGTCCACGTGGCAGAGCCTGGCAAGCTATCTGTGGCATATTCAATATGCCAAAACTAGTAAATACAATGAGTTTCATTCCCTTGAAAATGCCACCAATATGGCAGCAATAAGAAGGATGAGGAAGGAGAGGCTGATAAAATCTCAAGGCCAAACTAGGCTGCCAAAATGAAGAAGGACAAAAATGACTGTCTGTATTTTCAATGCACATATACTGGCATCGAATTCATCCATCAAGGACCCTAGAGTACAAGCACAAAAGATCAAGTACATCATTGGTCTGACCGAGATGAGAAGACATCAGTCACATCACATCGTTTTCGACATAGGAGAAGAACTGTTTCTCAGAACATGCGACAAAAGAGGCATCGGTGGTGTTTTCCTTGTCAGCACAAACTTTGCCATGAGCATTGATTCATTCGAACGCCTAACAACCCGAATCAGATGATTATACCTGAATAGATATGGCTCACTGCTGGCAGTTTCTGTCTTCATTGTCTATGCACCAACACCCAATTATGATGAAGGAGAAATTGAGAAGTTCTACATGGATCTGGAGAAGTTCTATAAAGAAGACCACACCTTCTACAAGATCATTGTTGGTGATTTTAATGCCAAGATAGGACCAAGAAGATCAGCCGAAGAACCCCACATTGGGACTCATGGCCTAGAATGGAACAAACAGAGTGAGAGACTGTCTGAGTTCATCATGTTGACCAAAATCATTCATGATAACTCAGTTTCAGAGGGCCGAATCTAAACGTTGGACATGGGAGTCTCCTGGTGGAAGGCTCCACAACGAAACTGACCACATTATAATCAATCGACGGTTTTGCCTGATCAATGTCGCTGTTGTCCCAAAATTCCAAATGGGATAGGACCACTGTCTCCTTCATGCAAAATTTTACTACACTGAGTGGGGAGAAAGGTCTGCAAAGTTTAAGAAAAGAGCTCTCAGAACAACCACCAACTGGGAGCTCTTTGGCACTATTGCAGCAACATGGGAATATGCTATTGTTGACAACACTGATGAAGAATACGATTGGCTGGTTCAAGGGGTCAAATCCTCCAAGAATGTGCGAGGAATGCAGAAAGAGAGATAGCCACAAAAAGGCACCTGTCTTCGAAAACTCTGAAGCTCATTCACCAATGTGGCTTGGTGCAAGCCTCAGGCAACCATAAGCAAACATCATTGCTCTCAAAGCAGTGC